ACTTGTTTTTATACAGTTTGTGAGCATCTTTTTGTTTGAGGCTGACACAACAACTGAGTCTGTGGTCTCTAATAGATTACAATACAAACTTTCGAATTGGTTGTTTTTTGCAGTGTCAACTGTTGCAATTGACACAACCTTTGGTTTGTTAGGTTTCAGTTTATTAAACATCTTTGTGTGCCGTCACAAGAAACCAAACCAAGTAGAATTGTTACAGCTCAGAGCTTTTGTAAAACTAGCTTTAACTGTCACAATTCTATGATATCTGACTTGATTAATGTCTAGTCAGAGTAATGGGGTGTTAAGCTTTACTGAACTAGCTTAACTTTCCAGAAAGAGCTTTAAAAACGAGCTCTTGAAACAGGCAACACTTGGCTAAACTTTACTATAACTAGTTTTGCTAAGTGATTGTCCTTGTTAATGTCTATACACTGTTCGTTGTCAAACTGAATTCCAAATGTTTCCGAATTGATTAACAGTTTACAGTTTACAGTACCAAGTAGTAGAAAGTAGCTATTTTGTTCTCTTTGGACGTAGTCTGATTGTCTTTGCAGCCTTTGCTTTGCGCTTCGTTTAGAGATCGATTTCCCAACACCTGAAAGGATATGGGCACCAGAAAAGTGTGATAGGGATTGCCAGCAGTGCTGACAAAAGAGCTTTTCTGAGTTTAGATGAATGACAATTAATCTCAGCTGTGAAACTCACCGTTTAGGTATGAGTTGGGGTGGTTGCTGAGATGAGTGAGTGAGGAACACGAAAACTATTGTGTATTCTGCCAAACTTTAGTCATGCAACATACAACAATCTGCAATTGTTGTTACATTCTATTGAGGTGTGATGTCCCACTAGGGGTCCTCAATAAATGTAATAGATTTGTAGTGTTGTAATTAGTTTAAAAGTAGCCAAAGCTGTTGATAGGCAATATAAACATTACCATCTTGAGGATGAACTGATCAATCTTTACTGGTTGGATAATGGATACAGAGAAGAGGATTGAATTCAAAATCTCACTACAAAATCTCACAAATCCATACTAGGATTGGCTCCAACTTATCTGCAAGATATGTCGGATTTATGTTTGGTGTAGGTAGCCTCTCTGTAGTAGCTTCTAAGATGTACAATCAATTTGCTAATTCTTTGAAATCATTAAAGCTCTTCTAAAAACTTTGTCGAAAAACTATTCAAGTCATATTTGGTGAAAGACCTTCAATTTAAAAAATATAACCTCATCGAATATTTTGAAATGGCCACAACCCATTTAAATATTTTAGTTTCTCTTATTCCGTCACATCTTACTATACATTTCTAACAGAGTAATCGTATAGTATCAATTAAACCAATTCAGTATCAACAAACCACGATAAACTATGTAGAAGATAAGAGGTATGTCACAAATAGAGCCGACTCTAGAGGAAAAAGCATATGATAAAAACGATAGGAAATAGTATGAATGGGTACTCCACATCAAAGAGAATACATGAAAACATAGTTAGTAATCAAATTACACATCAAAAAGATAACCAAAGAGGGTGAAAAGGAGTTTCGAAATGCGACAATAATACTGAAATTCAACCTAGGTATTCTTGTGACAATATGACAGTATTTGCTTTAGCGCTCGATTTTCATACCACGGTGTAAATATTCGAAAATATGCGCGGCGCACCTAAAATTTTGGTTCCATTAAACATGAATTTTTTGGTCAAAATTATATTAAATATACTTTAATTAATTGTTATTACAAGATATAAGTTTAAAAATTTTCAAAATATAGCATATAAGTACCAAAAATAAATTGCGCGCAAAAAAGTCAAAATTTTTACCACTTTTTTGGATTTTTACCTCAGAACAAATAGAGGGATTTGTTTTATTTTTACACAATCTTGTGCGGCTGTCTTTTAGCTATCTTCATGCAAGTTTTGCCGACATACCAACAAAATTAACTTGCTCAAAATATCAAAAAACATGGTTTTTTGGCCTATTTTTGGCCCAAAAATCGGTTTTTTGCTATTTTACCCCAGAACAATCAGTCCAATCATTTTAAAACCACTTTCAATCGATTCTACGGTCAAAAATACGTCTAGTAAGATGTATCTGGGGTCCCTAGCGTATCGAGCAGACAATGCCCGTAAGAGCCTCTACTAAAGGTGGCAAAGGAGTATATTCTACTTTTGACCATTGTTTGACATACGTTGCATGCAGCTTTTCACGCGCGCCGCCGAAGGCGGGAAAAGGGGCATACAATGAAAGAAATCGGACTTTTTAGAGGGACGCATATTCTGCGTCCCTATTATCCTATTTGACCAAATATGGGAGTAATTGACTGAGATGGCGCGCGCGCGCGCCACCAAAACATTTAAATGCATTGTAGATCTAAATTGTATATTATGCTAGTTAAGTAGTTAGCTAATTAGTGATTCACTTCCGGCGCGAGAACAAAGCGCCAGGGTCAAAATAAGACAATTCTTCGCGCGAACTTGTAAATTTACTTACGCCGCGCAGAGATGTGCCTTCATGGTGTAGCCATAATATCTCTGATATTTGGATACAAAACATGTATTAAACCATTGTTAATGGTCAGGTTTTCGCCAATATCTTGTCAGGGGAGCATTTTTATCCCTTGTCATCCATGGGTGATTCGTAGTCAGCGTCCAAAAATACATCGATTCAGGTTAGTTGGTTTCAACTGTCGGGCGGGGCAGCTATAATAAATTACATTTCCAGCACAAAGCGAGTGCTAGTGTAAATTATTCGTATTAATTCTGCTATATATATAACGAGGATTAGAATTGTGGAATCAACACTTTTAAGATCGGTAATATGGTTAAGAAAGGTCAAGAAAGCTAGAAACACACTGTCATGGGTGTTTAGTGTCTTCAAAACTCGTGATAGGACCGTAATGACTACCCTATTATATACCCTATTATATATAAGTGTTTGGTCAGAAGCCTACTAGAGTACTGTTGTCCGCTGTGGGACCCTGTTAAGGTGACTGAGATCCAGCTTTTGGAGGGGGTCCAGTGAACATTCTACGATCGTATATGCGGTCTGGAAAATATGAACTACTGGGAGAGGCTTTCACATCTAAAGCTAATGTCACTGCAGCGCAGAAGGGAACGGTACACTATTCTGATGATGTGGAAGATCCTTCACAATGTTGTCCCCAATTGCAGCAATATAAGATTCACAAAAACATCCAGACATGGTACTCGACCAATCATCCCTTCCCTGTCTAGGTTGAGTTCCTCGAGCAACCAGACACTCTATGACAGTTAATAAAACACAAGTTTAATATAACAGAAGTTAAATTTATTACCAATTATTCAATCAATACATATCAAAAATTCTAATATTGGAAACACAATGCAAAATGGATGTCTTAAACTATAATTTTGTTGTGACTAATAATCTATTGACTTTCAAAGTTGAATTTTAGTTAAGTATGAAATGCCACCAGCTGCAGCTGGTCTAATTCCCTGGTAGACTACTCGACATCGAGGTGGTCAGAAATCTTATGACCCTTCCTGCTACAAGGATAAACACAACCAAAGTAACCAAAGTAAGTAAGTGATCTTAGCTAGCAGAACTAGACCAAATTCAAAGGAAGCTCCATATATGATCTCAAGTAAACATATATAGTCCTGTATTCCATACTCAGTCAGCTGTGTCCAGAATCTTAATAAAATTGATTTGGTCAAATTTCAATTTTACTATCTCCGTGTTAGTATAGTGGTGAGTATACCCGCCTGTCACGCGGGTGACCAGGGTTCGATTCCCTGACATGGAGTCTTTTTATATTCTATTTACCATATTCTTCTACTTTATCAAAACTTTGTTCAGAATTGTTATAAATTACTGTTGATTTTTAGTATTGGCGCAATACTCTAATAATTTAACTTACAATTACAGATAGTAAATAGGCTTACCTGGGGAACTCTGGTAATAATACTAGAACATCAAAAAAATCGCTCCTAGCTGGACTTGAACCAGCAACCTTTCGATTAACAGTCGAACGCGCTAACCGATTGCGCCATAGAAGCTTATTCCAACCAAGAATTCAAGACTCAAGAGGCAAGTTTGGGTGTGTAAACTTCAAAGTCTGCACTCTCTAATTCTGTATGACCCTGGATGTTTTCGACGTATTTTTTGTAAAAGGTATATATACCTCCTAACTACTCTCTTGCTACTCCAAGTCCCCTAAAATATCTGGTCTAAAGGTCCTGCTAGTTATATTATATTTTTAACAAAATTGTTGTTTTCTTTCTTTTATATTCTGGTGAAATAGATAATTATCAAAATGAATGTACAATGGCCCATGTTACATGAATATCAAGATCTGATTTTGTCAGTATTGAGAATGACTTGAAACCCCTTTCAAATGGGACACCCTTCATAATGATAGCATAACTGATGGCTTCTACACAAGAACTGCTGAATTTTAAAATGTGTCTGCTCAATTTCAGGACAAATTTTTGTTGATCTTTCAGTGAGTTTAATTTTGTAAATGTTTGTGTTCATTACCTCAATATCTCTGTAAAAGTAGAGTTGTGAATATATATATATATATCTGTTTACTCGTGGGGGAGCTTTTTAATGCAACAGCCCAGTGGCATAACATACCCATGTGCTGCCGTCCCTACTAGTTAAACAGTTAACATTGCAACATTTTCCCGCTTTATATTACCGATTTGCCACCTCCCTAAGGTTATCTCCCCCCCCCCCTCCTGTAGGGTGGTCGTATCGCCACTGCGACAGCATCCTGTTGTGACCAATCTTAATCACTGTTAAGTTCTGAAATATGGTAAACCTCTCCACCAGTCTCCTATAGCAATCTGATGGCATGATTAAATTGTACACTTTTATTTCTCTAAAAAAGAGGATTGAGTGATTATATTACCATAAAGTTCTGTTTGAATGATCGTCTTTGGAAATCAATATTGTTACTGGATAACTCACTTTTAAACAGTGTACATTTTTATATTCTCTGTAATTGGATTATTCATTGAAAGGAACATCATGGGTGTGCAAATATTGGAACTAAGCCCAGACCCTCAGCAGTCTAAAAAGATATTCAGGGCTCCCACAGGTAAGTTAAAACCGTCTCAAATAATTTCGGTGTGATGGTGAAATCTTTAGGTTGTTTGATTAAGATATACATAAAGAATGGAACATGAGTAACAGCACCTTGTATAAATCTTTATTCTGTTTTTGAAGGATACTGGTTATCATAAATGTTCATCTAAGTTTCATTCTAATGAAATTTTACTGAAATTTGAATAACCTCCACCCAATTATTCTCAGGTGATTTTGTTTGTCTTGACAGAAGTCCTGAGCTGAGGGGAATCCTACTCGACATAACATGTGTTAATCCTGTCGGAGAACAGATCCCGTTCAAATGTGAGAAGGAAAAAGCCATGTTTACTCTTAAATCTGCTGGACCTTATAAAGTTACTTGGAAGATGTGTGTCAAACCTTCAGATAAAAATCGGAACAGGTATATATTTTTTCAGGTTTTTCTATTTCTTAATTATATCAGATATGTAATAGAAAAAAAAGCTTAGAGAGTCCTCCAATACTTTCAAACTTTCCAATTTCTAACAAAAGCAAAGCATAATCCTCAGTCCATTTTACTTGATTTCGTACAATGTAACATTTTAAATGTAATAGTCCTCTTTCAAATAGGACTATTAAATTTAAACTACTTTTAAAGGGCTCTTTGTGCCTTTTTTAAAATACGTTACAATTCAATCATGATGGCATTTGTAACTGAGCAGCGTTTTAATATTACTAAATAGTGTGTTGCCTTCCTACTTTAAACGGTTAACTAGGTTACATTTCAGAAAATTTAATTTCACCTGAAAACGTAATTGAATTTAACACAGTGAGAATATCCACCATTGAGTTACCTCACATTCATCCCATCTCACCACATTACAACTCCTAATAAACTCTGACCAATGAATTTACAGTGTATACGTAGTAACAGTCCTAGCGGACCCTGTGATGACCAACTCTACAGATCTCACCACTTTGCCCAGTCTGAAAGTTGATCAGATAGCTGCCCAGTCCCATCTCACCAAATGTTGTGGAGACATCGAGAACTGGGAGGATGTTTTCAGGGTTTCGGTAAGGATTTTATTCGTAGCACAGCAACATGTAGTAGAAACTTTTCAGTCATGGCAGTCAACTTTTTTAGTAACATTCTGATGGGTCGGTTATGTTAGTCTTACAGAATTTCGGCTTTGTGCTAAAAAGTCGTACATTTCCAATGTTCCCAAGAGAAGGGATCTTAATAATAAAAATAGTATTTAATTGTTTTAATGTGATTGTGAGTAATAACAGTACACTATAAGCTTGAGTCCGGGTACAACACAGTACATTTGACGCCAGTACAGGAGCTAGGGATCAGCAGGTCATCTTACTCTTTAAACTCTCATCTGAAACTATCGTCCTCTCTTAAACTGAATAGCTCTGGAGGTGAGATTGCAGAGTCGTGCAAGAAAAATTAAATTGTATAGATCTTTTTAACTAATTGGTTTTAATTCAATCTTTCCCATTCGTATCTTGTTACAGATTTAAAACAATCTTTGTCAATGTAACGAAGTAATCCTTTTAAATTTCCAGAGATAGTTTGCCTCTCAAACTTGATTTTACCACTTGTTATAATTTTTCTTTACGATCCCAGCTAAACGCTAACTAAAAGACCCTAATAACCACCTATACTATTATATGTTAAACTTGATGTTTCAAGGTTGACTGGTTGTTAAAAAACTAGCATCTCTTATTTCAGGTTATGAGGAGGATTTGAAAGTGTTATCTGATCATCTTCAAGATTTACACCAGAAAACTGGAATGTTCTTCCTTACTGATGTTGTGTGGAACCATGTATCAGTTTGTGAGTTTCGTGTTTTGAAATTTTACTACATATAAGCTAGCAGTAAGCAGCGCCATAATCAATTTGGGAAGTTTCTAGATGGATGTAGATGAAATAATATTAATACCCGTACGTTTCCTCCTGGAGGGGGATTTGTTAAAAAAATATTTTTAAATATGGTGTGGATCAGGCACACTCTCGATTACTTTGTTATTGTTTCATTTGTCAATAATTCCTTTAGTCGTGCAGTGTCATTGGTGTACAGAAAAATCGAGAGAATATGAAATCAACAACGTTAAAATATATTTAAATCATATTTAAAACATATTTAAAACATATTTAAAACATATTTAAAACATATTTAAAACATATTTAAAACATATTTAAAACATATTTAAAACATATTTAAAACATATTGGTTTCCTCCGCTCCCGTATCCGGTCTCCTAGTAACATGGAGATTCTAAAAAATCTCATACTAAGTATTATTCTTGCACTCCAACTTATGTTTTATTTAAATCTGGTGGATTCGTGTAGTTTTATAGAATATAGAGTCTCATGATTTGATAGTCCTTTCGTTCAAATTTTTGATTGTTTCTGAATATACTTACTAATACTTAGTGAAGACAGATTCTGATGGAAATAAATAGCTTAATAACGTATCGACATTTCTACGTCATACTCATGTTCTCAATAAAAGTAATAGATTTGTAGTGTTGTAATTAGTTTAAAACTTTTAAACTAATTACAACACTACAAATCACCTCATTGTATATTTTCAGGCAACAGAGATATTCTAGAACATCCTGAGTCCTATTACAATCTACACAATACACCTAACCTTATTCCTGCGTATCTGGTATGTTATATTCTATTACATACTTTCAAATCTCTAAATTGAAATGTTTTTCCTCCCAAAGTTGTTTTACAACTTAATGATAATCGTGCAGCGAGTTTTACGAAGCAGTAAATCGCTGAGATGAGCTATAATGTAACTTGAATTGTGCTGTTGTAGAAACATAACAATGAAGCTGCGCTAGCAAATTGCCTGTACTGGATATTAACACTAGTCTGCATGAGCTCAGAGAGCTCTTCAATTTGCTGTTAATGCGTTATTTACCATGAAAGGACGTGTTGGTCGACACCAAAGTAATCTTTTAAAGTTTATTATAAATGATTTGAATAAAAGAAACCTACCATTACGTGATATTAATGATCTTTATGATCTTAGGGCTACTGCCTCTAACAGAGTTTTGTGGAGAAAATTATTTACCTCATAATTAACCTTTATTTTTCAGAGAACTGTTATGTTTTTTTGGGCACTTATCAGTCTCTTAAGATGTTTCTTTACTATTTCGAGATTGTTTTAAAAGTTAGATAATAATAATAGTGCATGAGTTTTTAATGCAGAACTGCATTGCTATCTTAAATTCTTTCAGATTGACAGAAGTATTCGCGAGTTTAGTTTCACACTATCAGATAGTTCTGAGATAACAAACCTCCATTCCTTTTACAAAAGACTAAGCAATGTAAGTATCAACTTATATTGAAAAGTAGATGTTACGTAAGTTTTTTCAAGTTTTTCCCAAAAATCGAATTTAATTCTGAAAATCTGTCATGAAATCTTTTCTTTGCTTACAGCATCTGGTGGAAACATCACGTAAACTGGAACAACTCTACAAAATAGACGCGGGCAAAATGTTCAACTCCAAAGAAAGTACCACAGATTCACTGAATGATTCAATCTTGAAGAGATCGCATATTGATGATGTAGTGAAACAGTTGTGGCAGGTTGACTACTCACAGTCGGAGTATGGTGGCAGGGTCGATATGGGGGTTCTGAGAACTTTCCTCTCCAATCGGTAAGTGAAGCTATACGGTTTCAATATTTTGTAGAATTGAGGTGATGTTTCCGGTTTTCACTCGAAAAGTGCTATAATAATCCTGGACTAATCTTAAAATTAAGGCGTTATTGATTATTCGGCTTTATCCGTTTTAAAACATTAACAACTAGTCAAAACTGGTTTTATTAGTAAACTGGCAACGTGTCTAGAAGGGTCTACTTGAAAATAGTTTGGATCGCGCTCAGTTTATTTTGTAGACGTTTGCGCGCATCACGTACGTTCATAACATATACAGTGTAGACTGGAATTCACCAAACTATCACATGGTTACTATTTCAGTGAAATTACCTCGATACCAGAACAGAATTCTCAGATTGTAACAGCGATTAGTCTCTTTAACGAGTTCGTAGCACCAGCTGCCGCTCAGGAGGTCATCAGTAAAGTGACCACAGCTGTAGTCGGTGATGTGAAATACCGATTTATTGATGAAAACGGTCCAAAACATCAATTCGGAGACGTCCCTCTGGTTGAAAGGTAACTAGTCTCGATTTTAGTCTGTGATAGAGACTTTTGATTCCCATAAATCAAACATTGCTTTGTCCTGCCAATCATCGTACCATTCACTACGATTATTTAATTTCCAAAATGTCCAGGTATTTCCAAATATCGGATATTTCATTTGACAAGGAGAAAGAACTAGATATCTACGACAGACTTGATGCCGAGAGGATTAAAACTTGCAACGGTTGGACCACCGGCGAAAGTATTTCTGATATGAGCAAAACCATGGTAATTTACTGTTCACTAATCATAGAATGCTGAGTAGTAAGTATCACTGCAAAACTGGAGAACTCGACCATTAGATTAAATGGTATTAAATTCGTATCTTAGTCATGTTAGTGAAATTAGCTGATTGATTTCAGGCTTACACAAAGCGAGAGATAGTCATTTGGGGTGATAGTATAAAGTTACGATTTGGGAACTCCAGACAAGATGCTCCTTGGCTCTGGAATTACATGGAAAAGTTAGTTTACTGTAATCACCTTTAAGTAACTCAATAAAGCTGCCGACTAAAATACTACGTAACTTTATCTTGTCCTCATTTTAAGGAGAGGATACGGGTTAAAATTAGACAATTTTAAGATATCTAAATCTCATAAAATTTGCAATTGTCTTATAATTTAGGTACACCTGCGATATGGCAAAGTTATTTCATGGATTCAGAATAGACAACTGCCACAACACCGCCTTACATGTTGGTATGTATGTTGGTATGTGTATTGTGGTATGTTAGTACTTGGTATGTGTGAACTATCCATGAACTTCTTATTGTAACTCTTAATTCAATCAGTTATTTTAATTTTATCGTCTTCTATCTTTTAGACTCTTTACTTCTTAATCTTGGTTACAGTTAATTTTGCTCTGGGATTAATTCTTGATATCAATCAACGATTGATGTTTGATAAGTGACAACACCATTTTGATGAAGATAAAATCATCAGCGTTTCATCTAAACATCCCAGAAAATGAACTGGAATATCACCTAACAACTGGCAACATATGATCATATGCATGAAACAAATTTAATACCGGTTCTAAAGGAGGTTGCTTTTAAGTTTTCAATTAATTTACCGGCTCATCTTTTGGTCTCCAAGGTGCAAACCTAAATAACCGTTTCAAAATTGCTTAATTTGAAAAATTTTTAATAACCCGGTCTCGCGCGGAGGTGCCTCCTAAGGTTTTGGGGCAAACTTAACCGGTTGTGAGGAAAGGCTGTGGGGTTCAACAATAACCTCCTGGGCGAGGTTCCTAAATTTGAACTAATAACCCGGTTTGGGGTAGTGTCCCCTTTAATGGTTTTGTAAAAATTACCGGTCTCTGGGGTATTTGCCAAGGGTTTTGAATAATAACTGTTCTTGAGAGTTGGTCCCTCCAATTTGCAACTTTAAACCCCCTTGGGCTCCTGCGGGGGTTTCCTAAGGTGCAACTAAATTACCGGCCCTGCATGGTTCTCCTTAAGGTTTGGCAACTAGGTTTATGGTCCCCCCCTGCGGTAGGGGGCCCTAATTTGAATTTTAATAATGTTTCTTGCAGAAAATGTTTAAGGTTAAAATAAAATTTCTTAAAATTCCAATTTAAATATAGGGCTGGGGAAAAAAAGGTGCTTTTAAAAAGGTTTCAACAATAAAACCGTCCTCTGGGGGAGTGCTTTCCTTACGGGGGTCACACTAAAAACCCCCCCTTCTGCTGCGGGGTGGTTAAACTTAAGGTCAATATAACCTTTGGGATTCCCCTTAGTTTGAAATTTTTTAATACCGGTCTCTATATCTTTTAATTTCCCAACAAATTTTTAACCGGGTTCGCGGGTTAAGGTGCCCTAATTTTGCAATAAAACCCGTCCTCTAACTCACCGTGGTTTTGGGAACAAACCCGGTTTCTGGGGAAAAAGTGCCACTAAGGGTTTTACTAATAACCGGTCTTTCGGGGTGCTCCTTTTGCAATAATAACCGGCCTCGGGTTTTGTGGCCCCAAAGTTTGTCCTTTTGTAACGCTCCGGGAAAGGTGCCCTTAAGTTTTGACAAAGAACTTGTGAGTGTCTTTTTAAGTTTTGCATACTTTATTACCTGGTCGGGGGTTTAATGTTCCTTTTTAAGTTTTCAAGAATAATTTTCTCTGGGGTTAGTTTAAGTTTGAACTTTTACCATCTTCGGGAAGTTGTCTTTTTTTGGGTCAAAAAGGGTCCATGGTGTTTTTCCCCTTTAAAGGGTTTGGGAAAATAATCCGGTCTTGCGTGATTTTGCCCCCTTTGGTTTTTAAAATAATAATTTGGGGGTAAGTCTAAGTTTGCAATTAAAAACCGGTGTGAGTAGGTGTCCTATAAGGTTTGAACAAATAACGGGCAAAGGTCTTTAATTCAACAAGAGTTGATAACCGGTCTCTGCGGGTAGGTGCTCCTTAAGGTTTGCAACTAATAACCAGTCTCTGCGGGTAGGTGCTCCTTAAGGTTTGCAACTAATAACCGGTCTCTGCGGGTAGGTGCTCCTTAAGGTTTGCAACTAATAACCGGTCTCTGCGGGTAGGTGCTCCTTAAGGTTTGCAACTAATAACCGGTCTCTGCGGGTAGGTGCTCCTTAAGGTTTGCAACTAATAACCGGTCTCTGCGGGTAGGTGCTCCTTAAGGTTTGCAACTAATAACCGGTCTCTGCGGGTAGGTGCTCCTTAAGGTTTGCAACTAATAACCGGTCTCTGCAGGTAGGTGCTCCTTAAGGTTTGCAACTAATAACCGGTCTCTGCGGGTAGGTGCTCCTTAAGGTTTGTAACTAATAACCGGTCTCTGCGGGTAGGTGCTCCTTAAGGTTTGCAACTAATAACCGGTCTCTGCGGGTAGGTGCTCCTTAAGGTTTGCAACTAATAACCGGTCTCTGCGGGTAGGTGCTCCTTAAGGTTTGCAACTAATAACCGGTCTCTGCGGGTAGGTGCTCCTTAAGGTTTGCAACTAATAACCGGTCTCTGCGGGTAGGTGCTCCTTAAGGTTTGCAACTAATAACCGGTCTCTGCGGGTAGGTGCTCCTTAAGGTTTGCAACTAATAACCGGTCTCTGCGGTAGGTGCTCCTTAAGGTTTGCAACTAATAACCGGTCTCTGCGGGTAGGTGCTCCTTAAGGTTTGCAACTAATAACCGGTCTCTGCGGGTAGGTGCTCCTTAAGGTTTGCAACTAATAACCGGTCTCTGCGGGTAGGTGCTCCTTAAGGTTTGCAACTAATAACCGGTCTCTGCGGGTAGGTGCTCCTTAAGGTTTGCAACTAATAACCGGTCTCTGCAGGGTAGGTGCTCCTTAAGGTTTGCAACTAATAACCGGTCTCTGCGGGTAGGTGCTCCTTAAGGTTTGCAACTAATAACCGGTCTCTGCAGGTAGGTGCTCCTTAAGGTTTGCAACTAATAACCTGGTCTCTGCGGGTAGGTGCTCCTTAAGGTTTGCAACTAATAACCGGTCTCTGCAGGTAGGTGCTCCTTAAGGTTTGCAACTAATAACCGGTCTCTGCAGGTAGGTGCTCCTTAAGGTTTGTAACTAATAACCGGTCTCTGCAGGTAGGTGCTCCTTAAGGTTTGCAACTAATAACCGGTCTCTGCGGGTAGGTGCTCCTTAAGGTTTGCAACTAATAACCGGTCTCTGCGGGTAGGTGCTCCTTAAGGTTTGCAACTAATAACCGGTCTCTGCGGGTAGGTGCTCCTTAAGGTTTGCAACTAATAACCGGTCTCTGCGGGTAGGTGCTCCTTAAGGTTTGCAACTAATAACCGGTCTCTGCGGGTAGGTGCTCCTTAAGGTTTGCAACTAATAACCGGTCTCTGCAGGTAGGTGCTCCTTAAGGTTTGCAACTAATAACCGGTCTCTGCGGGTAGGTGCTCCTTAAGGTTTGCAACTAATAACCGGTCTCTGCAGGTAGGTGCTCCTTAAGGTTTGCAACTAATAACCGGTCTCTGCGGGTAGGTGCTCCTTAAGGGGGGGGGGGGCCAATGGGTATTTTTTTGTGAAACTTGATTTCGAGATAGCAATTGACCAACAAACTAGGACCGTGACCGAACTTTTGAGGGGGTCCCGGACCCCAACCGCCAAACGGTGCGCGCATGGCAGCCACGCCCATATTTGGTCCAAATTAGGCCCAATTTAGCCAAATACCCTGAACATGCCCAAAACCAAGGTTTATGGTGCTCTACTTGTAGCTAGTGGTCTCCTGAACTCGTATATGAAATTTCATCAAGATTGGACGAAAAATGACTGAGTTATGAGCCAAAAACCATATGCCCATATTTGGGCATACGCACCAAATTTGGTAGATTTTCGTCCCATAAATTGGTCAAATATCAATATTTTTGAATGAAACTAACTTTATATGAAAGGTAAGCCTAAACTACAGATTCTCTATGATAAGCTTAATATCTTAAATGTGGATCTGGCAAAACAAAAAATGAACAAATGCCCATCTCGTTCGCGATTTTGCGGAAAAGATTTCTTAAAAATTGAACACAATTTGGTTTCAATTTTTCATGAAATTTTCGGGAAACAATTAGAATCGATTTCCACCTTAATTTTAATAGGATTTTTTATTAGGCCTTAAAAAAATTTTTCGGCCAAATTCTGAATTTTTGGGTAAATTTTGGGAAATTTTGGGCCCCCAATTTTTTTAAAAGGCCCAAATCAAAAATCCATAATAACCCCTTTGGGGGAAAGTCGTTTTTTCCCTTTTCTGAAAAACATATAAAATATAATGAAACCCCATTAGTCATTTTTCAAATCAGGTTCAAATATTCGGAATGAAATTGGCGATTTGTTCATTTTGAACGTTTACAAAAATGTTTTTGTAGAAAAGGGGCATATAAACATAGAGATCGTTATAGTTTAATAAAGTTTGGTTTCATTCAAAAATTAAATTTTACAATTTTGGGAAAATGATTAATTTGTACAAAAATAGTCAATGTTTCCCAATACCAATATTTTTTGTCCATTTGTGTTTTTCGGTTAGAAACCACTAACAAGTAAAGCAACCCAAATTTGGGGTTTTGGGGTATTTCAGTAATTTGGCCATTCCCAATTGATTAATATGGGCCCTTTCCCAGCACCTTCTTGGGGGTTTCCCTAAAATTGGTCCCGGCTTTTTGTCAACTGCTTTCGAAACTTGTTTTAAAAAAATCAGTAACCCCTAAAAATTCAAATAATAAACCTTGTTTTTTCTGTTCAGTACAAATTTGGGTAATTTTAAATAGAGGCGTTCTTTGACCCTGCCTTGGGTTCCCGAAAACTGAATCTTCTTAATTTTCACCAGAAATCCAATTTAAAAATATTTATGGCCCCCCCAAGGAATAAAAACGGCCTGTTGAATCCCTTTCGTGAATTATTCGTCTTTATGGTGGTGTTTCGGTTTGTTCCTATTAAATGCAAAAAGCCAATTTTACAATTAACCGGCTAATTGGGATGCCCCTTTGTGAACTAAAAACCTTCCCAGGTGTTCCCCTTTAATTTGCAACTTTAATTAAGTGTTGCAATAGGTACCCTTTAAATTTAAAATTAAAGTTAAAAATTTGTGTTTTAAAATTTTTAATAAATAAAAGTTCCCGGAAAGGTTTTCATTATTGAACATTTCCTTTGGTTTTTTTTAAGGTTTGATAATAACCTTTGCCGGTGTCAATTTTTCAAAAAGGGCCAAAAACTTTTCTCCATTCTTTTTAGCGAAAACCATAATAATTTTTTATATGTGTTTAAACTTGTAAAATTTTAAAATAATCGCTTCAAAACTGTCCTTCCACCCAAAAACTTGATTTATATATGAATTTTGGAACCATAAATTTGTCAATGTTTCACGACCTATTGCTGAATTTTCATAATGAATCGTGGTAAGAAACACCGAGTCTTACAAAATGTTCTTGATATTCAGTGATTAATTAGGTTTACTCCATACCTCATCCCAAATTTCAAATTTACGCGTGATTAAATTGAGCAATCTTTTTATCGCAAGGTCCTTCATTTTGTATCAGACAATCAACATATATCATCTCAGAACAGCTCAATCTTATTCATAAGTTGTATCGGGCAACATAGGAGATTTCTGATACCTTACTTAGTAGTACTTTAGTAGGCGCATCTAGATAATATAGTGCTGCTGTTAATACTCAATAGTCTGTTGATTTCTCATAAGTAGAGTTTGAGTCAAGTTCATTCGCCGATTATACATTAAAAGATCGAATTGACTTTTAATTGATATTAATTTGCATAACGATTTACCAAAAATACGCGAAAACTAATTAAATTCGGCCCAATCATTATTCATGTAATCAGTTCTTGCTCGCTTAGTCATTTTCATAAACCTGTTGCCAAGCAACTGTCATCTTCAGATAATTAACAGTACAGATAATGACATGACCGAGTAAGTAGCCGCACCACAATGAAGATATTATCGGGTTGTAGTAGGTAAGAGTCTCTTCTTAGTAATCATCTAGGTATGCTGGTAATGGTATGTATCACGTGACTTATCTGTAGTGGTATTGGCTCCTGTCTTGTTATAGTTACATCCTTCTGCACTCAACTTTGTTGTAGTTATAATCTTCTGCCAGCCTGGAGAGTTACTCTTAGTGTAGTTAATTTCTAAAAATATGTCAGATTGACAGTAAAAATAAAGAACTCCCACTGTACCGGACCTCGCACGTTATTGCACGCGTAATTGCCAGTGCTTGGCTCGGAAGCATGGTATGTTGAATATGCCTTATATTACAGTGCGGGAGATTATAGGAGCCGGGTTTTAAGAAAAGCTCCCCAACGTGTACTGGATATAACAATCATAGTTTATCATCTTCAGTGAACTTCAATAGAGACATCACTGTCCTTTGTTACTTCATCTAGTCAGTAGTACCACGTGTTGGCTTGTCTCCGGAAAAGTAAATATTCTACATCTTTAAATAAATATTATACTAAATATTCTACATGTCCTTATTATGCAATTATTTATTTATAATTAGCTCCCCTTCCCCCCAATATCTTATATTAAATCTATTACTACCCAAAGCTATCACTTAAACACCTATTATTACTTTTCTAAGTCCTTAGCTACTCTTCTGCAAAAGCCCCGTACGCCTTTGCTATTTATTTGTATATTTATATATTTGATACTTTGATCTGCAACAACATGCTTTGATCCTATGGCATACATCGAGTTTATTTAATAAGTTAATAGCTGCTTTGATGCAGCCAAGCAGCTACAATTTTACATTAAGACTGAGACTACCTGGGCAGTGGGCTTCACTAATCATGAGTCTTGTCTTATTAAGAGGTATGCGTTTAACTTGTTCCCAAACTTTCTCATAGTTTATAAAAGCAATATTTTTCAGGATACAGCGTTTTTTATTCAATACTTTGATCTACGAGAAGGCGTATGAGCTTTATTTACTTCCGACAACCATTCTGTCATTCTGTGTTTGGAGATAAACTGGTCCGGGGAACTTGATCCGTAGTTCTACTGAAATTTAAGTACAATACAGAACTATAGTATTTCATAACCAATATAAGAAAAGTTTAGTAAACTGAAATAGAGACATCATAGTACTTTGTTCCTTCGCATAGCTAATGTCGTGTCCGGAAAAAAAAATATTCTAAAATATTTTCTTTAAATGTTATAAATGTTCTTTTGCACTTATTCAATAATAATAATAGGACCTGTTTTCCCCTCGCTACAACATGAACAAGCTCTCATTCCCGAAAGCTTGTAAGTTGTAACTGTTTATTCTGTCTTACTTTATAAAGTAACACAGTTTGGTACAGATACCGAACATGTACTCGTAAACGCAAAGAATTTACCCTTTTTAACTTATTTAATGAGTTAACGTGTTCCCACGGCATGTTACAAATTAATATTCGCATACCTGAGTGATTCCGTACCCTCAAACACAACAAGGAACATTCCTCGTGCAGGTGTAACTAACCCCAACTCCTAAAGATCACAATTATGATTTCCTAGCTTTACGTTGTGATCTATGATAGATGATAATTGATGGTAATAGTCCAGATGTAACAGTGTAATTGTGTATTAACAATATATTGTATTGTCATCCTCTCCCTCGTGTGATAACAATGTGTTTTGCTTTAAATTAGCATCTCTGTGATGAGCGGTAGCTGACATTTGATATGAAATCGACAAGTCAGTAATGATGCACTATGCAGCTCTGTCGCCCCAATATAATCCAGTGTACAATCTTAAGATTGATGGTTATAGTCATGTATAACACATGAAAACGATAATGTGACCCGCTCGTGACTCAAGCAGGTCAGAAGCGGGTCGCCTCGAGATACCTCGTTTCCATGTGTAAGTTAGCATCTCTCGTTGTTTGACTACACAATACACATGTTCGAAACACTTTGTTTATTGTTGCAAAGTTATTTGTCTGATAGTTTCACATGCTAATTTTGTGTAATTCTGCGACACAGAAGTGTTATCTTCAAGATAATTTGCAGTTCACAGTTGACTATCTATATTTAAAAAAAACTGTATTAATTGTTATTTGTACTTTATATTTGAGGATTTATCTTAATTTATTAATGTCTCTAAATATACTCCACTAGCATGAATTAACTAATTAATTAATTAATTAATTAACCCTGTTAGAGATTGAGTGTTCGGAGATATGTGTGACAGCTCAACCGAGGAGAGAATGAGTGTTCGCAGTCACGTGGTCTATATAACATGCCTCCATACCAGTGAAAATACCAGTCACTCTTTTGACGCAACAGTTGACATTATCATTGGAACAATTATCACGATCTGCTTGCTGGCAGGGCTGGCTGGAAATCTATCCGCCTTCACCTACTTCTGTCAAAACAGAAACAAGTCCCTCTATCTGACTCTGCTCATTATCGTCAGTGTTACAGATATCTGCTTATCTTGTATTCTCTTTCCCGTGGCTCTATCCCTCTTTAACACACGATCCCCAACTCTTTTTAACAGCCACATCTTCTGTGGTATCTGGACTATACTCTTCTACTTCTCTCAACGTGTCTCCGTGTTCAGCGTCCTGATGCTAATAGTAACGCGGTGTCTCACCCTGCTTCTCCCCCACTACAAGATCAACAAGCTGCCAGTTCTAAAGGCAGGTATCTTGTTTGGTGGAGTGCTGCTAGCGGTTCAGTTTGTGTGCACGTGGTCAGGTGAGGTGGAGTTCAGGTACAGATCATATGATAGCAGTTGTACTGTGGTACCTGGTGTAGCTCCTCCAGGTGACAGCTGGGTGTACTATCTCCTTCTCCTTCCTGTGTTAACACTGGTGATGGTTGTGGTTATCTTCGTATGCTTTATGGTGATTTCAGTGGTGCTGTTAGCTGGAGAGAAGAACCACAGGGAGAAGGACACGCGGGAAGAGACAGTCACGATAACTTTATTTACATCAGTATTTCTTGTTTGTAACTTGCCCCGTTTTGTCTTGCTCATCCTCCAGCTCTTCTTGGACACTGCCGATTGGTTAGAGTTGGAAACCCTTTTAAAACAGAACCCAGTACTGTATTGGTACCGTGTTGTGGTCAGCCAGTTCCTCTTCACAGCCCTTAAGGCCCTCTTCAACCCTATTATATATGCAGTACGATTCAAGAAGTTCAGGGGAATGGTTCTGAGAAGTTTGGGACGCTCAGCAGTTGAACCAGCACCAACCCGGAGGATCACAGTAAGAGGCAAACATTAAATCTTACAGAGATAATGATCATGTGAGCAGACTTGTCATGGGCGTAAACTTTTGTATATAATTCCTGTGCGATGCTGACGAATACAGAGTTTTTATTTATTTTTTCGTCCACGCGCTAAATGCTAATCACCAAACTTATTCTCGAATATCTTGATTCTACAGTGATACTAATACTTATCTACAGTAGTGATACATGTTATTAAATAACTTACCAAAGGATGATTTATTTATCGCTTCCACTTATCAAATGAGATTTACGAATTACGCATGAAATTTTCAGTAAAACCAATCAAATCAAAAGCCATAAGATGAAATTCCTTGACTACTTATCAATGAAAAGAGTTGACAAATGGATGAAATTGTTAACAGATAATAGTCCAATAGTCCATAGAATTAAATTGCGACACATCTTCATGGAATAAGGAATGTTCGATTATCTGGCGAGATTACTATATAATGATCAAATTCTCATAAATGTAAACATTATCACGAAAGTAAAAATCCTTATCGCGCGACACCTACAATTTGTCTTGGCGACTGAATATTTTTAAGATATTTTCCACAATTTTTAGGGGATTCCATGAGTTGTTTTGGACATTTTATGCATCCTCTCAGTAGTCTTTGAGTTTGACCTAGTGTAACATAATATTCACATTGATAAGCCAATAACCATTAAAAACGTTGAGAACACGAATACCAATTAGCTAATTAGTGTAATTAAGCCTTAAATAAATGAAATCAACAAGCTTGCCTGTGGAAGAAAGGTATATTATATTTAGTTTTACTATTTTATTATTTTAACTATTCTCCAGGGTAGAGGTTAACGTTAGAGAGAACCCCGAGTCAAGCAACATGGTTAAAGTCTCAAGAAGCGAGGAAAAACTTGAACTCTCTTTCGTACTCTCACCAGGTAGGCAGTTCCGCGCATTAACTAATTTGTGTTAATAATTAGCTTATTCGATTTACTAATTTAATAACATATTCTCATTAGTTTTATCCAATTGAATAATGCAGGAGAAATAAAAGATACAAAGTTAGATTGTATAGCAATGATTTAGCACTTATCATCTCATATACAGGATGTGTGGTAGCTACTCTTGTTCGCCCTGGCAAATCCGCCCAACATGCTCTAAACTACTTCAACTCCTATGTCCTTGATAAGCATACATTTGCTATGGTTAGTTTACTGAGAAACATACATTTATTTTAGTGTTTACTTTCAGTTTACATCCAGTTTTCATATACATACAATATACATAGTTTTCACGCATAACAAAAGAAGATATAAAGTTTATCCTTCTCCTCCCCACAGGAGCTGGACATCGTGTGTTCGAGTCTGGATCTGTACGATCTGAACTACATTCTGTACAGGTGTGATGAGGAGGAAAGGGTGGACGGGTGTGGAGGGGTTTACGATATTCCTGGATACGGTAAACTCACCTACGCTGGACTAGTTGGTAAGTTCCAATTTTACCCATTTAGTTTAAGAAGCGAGGGAACACAAAAAGAGGGGCGCTGCGGGCACGAGGGGCGCCACTGAACCCCTCGTGCTACCTAAATCGGAGTTATTTTCATAACAATCCCGCGCGCCGCGGAATAAGTTGAAATATAATCCCTGTGCGTGCCGGTGTTATGTGTGTTATATTCTGGTGAAGACTTTTTGTTAACCACCTTGTAAAAAGGAAAACTATACACTAGTTATGTATTGTAATTATTTTAATATTTAACGTTTAATCGTCTTATCTTGCTTTCACAATTTACAAAGTATTTCGTTTAACTTCGTATGATGAGGTTGTTTGTAATTGTCCTATCTTTGCTTGTAGTTGCTTGTGTGGTATCCGCATCTGAATTACCTGACGATGAATTCATCATGGAAATACCAGAAGGTAAGTTCTGTAAATTGCCCTTTTTCATTGTGCAAACATGTGAATATGAATTGTGTGTGATTGAAAACGTTAAAGTTTTTGGGATTCAGTGCGATGAAGATAGGAATAGAGTGCTCCTCAAATTATTTATGGACTGCTCTAGTACAATTGACATTATTTTGGAACTAATTTTAGTACAATACTTAAGGTGCAGAGCTAGTGAACGATGATTTCATCGAGCCAAAAGCCGAGGAGCCTCTTGGAACATCATCTTTTGAAACGGGGGATATTGAAGTTATTGCAGGATGATTTGACAATCCTACTGTTAATATGTTTACTTTTGCGTTTATTTCGAGCTTTGTGTCAGGGTGGAATAAACAGCTAATGATCTTTGGATAATCCACTGCGGTTGAAAAAATTTGATCGAGAATTTCCTCTAGAAGAGTTTAAGCTGTGTTTTAATTGTCATCGCAAATATGGAATTCCATGTAACCCGAGCCTCACAATGATAAAAAGTATTGCACTTAAAGTATTCTACTTCAATTGAACTTGAAGCTCCGAGTGGCTGCAAGGCGATACTCGTAAAATATTTGTTCCAAATATTAGGACCGTCGACGAGTCCAACTCGGCGCGCGTCCTGGTAGGTTATAAACCTACAACTGCAGGTACCTGAGTTCTCTAGGTGACTTCTATTATCACGTTTCTAACATCATATTGGGGTGCCATGCGGTAAATCCTTTCTTCAGTACCTTTAAACTACCTTACTCGGGATTATTAATATTATGACCGGGATAAAGTGGCGGGTTTAGGGTAATTTCGCCATATTTTTCCCGAACCACATTTTCACCGGTCGTTAATAAACCCGCCGACTCAGCTTTTAGGGTTCCCAAGGGGTATGGGTGCTCATATTTTAATCGTTGTCTTATATTCACTAAAGAAGACTATTGGGACACTTGTTGTAGGTTTCTCGACTTCATTTGGCTAAAATTGCAAAAAATTCACCTTTTTGCCAAATTCTTGTCATATATCCTTATTGTCAAAGTTGATTTAAATAGGCCAATTTTTAATTTCTTAGGTATTGACTATCTCTACATAATGAAATAGGCCTCAAAGTAAAAGTAACAGTTAGATTAAAACTTGAATTAATTAAAACTGGCAATAACATGAATCAGTTTCATCAGTCATTTATTCATAATTCTAAACAATGTGAACGATGCATTCTTTCGAAGTTTGATTAACCACGAGTCATTATTTCTGTCTACTTTCAACAATTATTGATAATTCGACTTGTTTCACAAGTTTTAGCAATGCGAAAATTTCTAAACTTGCTTATCTCTAATAAGGAAATTTACATCTGAGACAAAATTTTGAGAATAGCTGCTACAGCTTTGAAGAATGGTTAGAGCACTGGGCCTGATGACTTAGCCAAAAGTGAATTGATTATGGTATGCAAACAGAAGTAGTGTATTTCAGAAATATGCAGGACTGATAATAATACCGCATTTGAAAACATACACCACATAACATATTGGAAAAGGCTACTTACCTCTTCACTCCTAATGCTAAGAACACCTACTTGGTCCTGCAGCAAACACTCGACCTCTCCCCCTCTCAACTGCTCCAGAAAATTACTTGTCAATGATTCCCCTAAAACGTATCCAGGCAAGCTAGATCAGTACACCTGGTCCTACACAGTGCTTACATGAGACGGTAGATGTTGTGGGCGATTATAATTTGGTCTCAAACGTATGCTAACCTCAGTGGTACTTAGAAAGCATTGGAGCTACCTCAGACTTGAGTAAAAGGACATGTTCAAGTGCCTTGGACCCATCAGCAGAGAAACAGTACTCAATGTTCTTGAAGATGCTGGCTGTACTAGTGATGGAAAGTAGGATGGTACGGCCTCCTACTAGCAAACACAGTGGTTGAAAGTAAAAGTAATAATTACTGTATCACTTGAGTTCAAAAGCACAACTGGCGCATTTCAAGGAGATGCACTATCAGGTAATCTATTTACTGTTGTTGAAGCGCCTGCACTTATTCCACTCAGAACTGTACTCTCCCAGTTCTCAACACCTTACCCAGTGAAATCATCCAATCCCTAGTCTCCAATCTCAGAGAATTCATGCACTCGAAACAGGATACTCTGATGATATTGATTTACTAACACTGACTTGCTACACTCAAAAGAAATGCTTCCTATCTCTAAAGGATATATTCCAGCAGTGGGACCTTCATTCATATCAATTCTTCCAAGACTGAATGTGTCCATTTTATTTGCCGATCTAACCCACTGTTAACACGCAAGGTGATTGTTGGAAAAAGTGTATAGAGGTGATGGAAGAGTGGCGCTCTAACAAAAACTGTAGGATCGTTGATGTTCACTGTTAAGGATATCAAGAATCGATTATTCCTTGGTACTGTTGCCTTTAGTAAATTTCAGAAAGTTTGGATGACGAGCAAGATTTCAGTCCCAATGGAAGATCAAAAATCTCGAGGCAACAAGTAGTTCTTATTCTACTCTACAACTGCAACTCCTGGGTGCACCCCTCGCGCGTTGGAGTGAATGTATTGCTCATCGCAAACACCTCCGCAGATCCTCTACATTCAGATGGCTACTGGGGGTATTTCTAATGGGCACTCTATGCTCGTTGTTATGTCACTTCCTGTCTGGAGAGTCTCTATGTTTCGATGGAGAATGGTAGGACATATCTTAGAGGACAGGTAGATCACAGCTTACTAACCTCTATGTTAATTGGCTATAAATTATGATTATTTTTATGAAGGGAGAGGGGTAGGACCATGTTTAAATTATTAGATGTTATTAGAAAAGATCTTGATAGTAGAACTCTTGATATTAGACTTAAGGGAATTTGACTGATTTCGAAGACCTTAGATTTTTAGCTTTAGATAGGGAGGAGTGGAGAAGTTAGAAGATGGTGATGTTTTGTTTCCTTTTTTATGCGTTTTGCTATTATAGGTGCTTGGATGCTCTTTTAAAGAGATATTCGTACTTTGAAAAGATTTACTCTACTACTCCTAGTTGCTACTCACGGAGATTAAAACTAGTTTACCAAATCTAACAAACAGATGTCTTAGAACTATGAAACCATGCATAACCAGTGCATCTCTGATCCTGCATACAGATCACTTTTCAACTAAAAAATGGGTGGATTCCACTTCAGATTGATCAATGAAGCGTATGCGTTCTAGCTCTTTGGCTGGGGTCAATATTACGTGCTGTCCCAATACCATTTGTTAATTATTGGCTCATTACAATTACGCATTACATTTACTCACTAATACCAGGTATATCTTGCTTCGTTGTAGTGCACGGCGAACGTTCACTAAAATGTTCTTACATAACGGTTCATAAAACTCATCTCACGTTCTGAACGTTATGGATAAATTATCCTTAGTAGTGTTCAGAGGGATTCACGTACTCTAGTTCGACACGCACTATAGTTCGGACAAATCAAATTCGCCTGATATCACCCCTGTCGTACGTCGAGTACCGTGTTGTCGAAGCAGGCCGCGAACTAGAGTCCAAGTAGCGTACTCTAGTTCGACTAAATAGTTTGTTGCTTGCTATGATCAATGGCTATTGCCGGGTCCTCCTGTAGGATCACAGGGTTCCATGGCATGATAAAACAATTTTTGACATTCTAGAAACCATGAGCGGTTAGAAATTCCCAGAACCTTTAGTATAGTTTTTAATTCTCCTGATTGCCACTCAGTTCTAGTCTAGCTAACAGGGAAAATCTATATTGATATCGAATTTTAGATTCAGCAAGCCAAATTCGGTACTCGGTTACAGTCGTTTGTGATATTATAAAGTGTGGTATGTGGACGAAATTTCTATAGCGTATCTACAATCTAGATCTATAAAACCGGAGTACGCGTTACTACGTTAGTCTTTTATCTCTCGCTAAGTCAACAATTATGCTAACTACCAATTGACTTATGCGTATGAGGACAATTAAATGTACAAAGATGTTCATTACTAATTAATCAAGTTTGGGGAAGGAAATCGAGATTTCAAAAAGTTTATTTTCATGAATTTTGTTTTGATAATTTGACATAACCATAATCATGGGTAGAGTGAAACCGCTGACAGTGTTCTCTTTTCCAAACAAAAGAAAATGATATTCATTTGAGGAAACCGTCCGCAAATGAAAATTGATACCGAGAATGAAAATCGGTCGCTCGCTTTTCCATTCAATAAGCTTATTACATACGTAAGCCGTGATGAATGGAAAAAAGCGAGCGACGATTTCTTTCTCGTATCCATTTGATTGCGAACCAATTATGCTAACTAACAAATGACTTATGTGTTTGAGGACAATTAAATGTTCATAGATGTTATTAATAATATCAGTTTGGGAATCCGAGATTTCAAAGTTTATTTTCATGAATTTTGTTTTGATAATCACTGCCGTACACTACCGGTCAATAACGTTACTACAAAATGACTGGAACGTGCGTTCACACGTCAAAATCCACCGTTCACTACAACTAAGATATCTTGACCTAGCAGCTGTCCCGCTACCAATTTGTGAATAATAACCTACTATGCAGAAAAAAACCAGGAA